AAGTGTAACTAATAATTCTACACAAATTTAAGAATATTAAGATAAATCATTACTTTATATTGACAATAACAACAGTATTGTGTTTTGACAATATGATGTGTTACATAATAAAGAGATGATTGTATATGTTTTCATATGGAAGAGCTTATAAGTTACCATAATCCATCTTCCAAATCTTGAAAAATTTGTAAACTTTTTTAATTTCATTTCTAAAAAAATTTGACAATATGATCGGGTGGTTTTTCTTTGAACATCAAAGAAGCCTTGACTACTTTTCCATACGCTCCTTTGATCAATAATAAACTTGATTAGTGAGAACTTGAATCATTCCTGCCTTTGAGTTCTTAACCTGTCTTTTATTTGCTTTCACAAAAACTAAAGAAAACACATCAAACATGCGACTGGAATAATCAAACAAATCCTTAAGAGGATCAAACAGGCTATCGAAGGCATGTTTTGAATGTATTTTATCAATTCCATTTACTTTGTCACAAATCAGAATGTGATTAGAACACCAAAAATCTGTAACAGAGTTCAGAACAACCAACGTTTTACTAGAAAGAGGAATATCCTTTGCAAACTTAGAAAAGCTTTGTTCAAGAGCATGGTCTTTGAAACTTGGTTGGTAAGATTCATTAACATCACAGAAAACTTTGTTATATATTAGACAAAGCTTTAACCATTATAAACTCTGCTTTAGTTTTAACCAACTCAAATGTGTTGCTAAACAAAGAAACTCTCAATGAAGAGTCAAAATCACAAATTTCATCATTTAGAATACCTTTCGGCTTAAAGAACTTTTCATGTGTAACAGTTTCAAAAATTGGAATTATTTTATCAAATATAGATTCTGAAACACAAATTTTTTTCACAATTTCTAAACCCAAATGTTTTTCATCTTGAGCAGAAACCAACACAAACAATTTAGGCTTTATCCTAACCAAATCAATTTCCTTACAGTGCTTTTGAGAACTGTTGTTAGGAATTGTCTTAGTTGATTTCTCCATGTCCATAATTGATGGGAAACACCTTTATGCATCTGCTGGTAATTTTTCTTCAAGAACTTGTGAAATTGAATCAATACTACTCGGTTGTACCGGTTTGAAAATGATTAGTTTTTCACAAACTTGATTACTTTCAAGCACAAAATCATATTTTTTCAGAAGGAAAAATCACACTTATCTTTCACAGATTTAGAAGGAAGAGCACACTTAGCTTTCATGGATTTTCTGTAAGAATTAAGAAACTCCAATAGTTCGTTCCCAAGTTGCTCCTTTGTTGTGGTGCTGCTTTTAACGTTTTCTTTGTGCTTCATAGACTTTTGATGGATTGGTGAAGGCTGGTTTGGTTCTTGCTTTTGAATAACCAATTCTTCTCCAGAGCCATAACTCTATTCACATCGTTACAATCATGT